CCTCAGACATCATGAATACTATCAACCACTATTCAATGCACCTCAGACATCATGAATACTATCAACCACTATTCAATGCACCTGGAGAAAAACAGTCTCTTCTTTTCCAAGTAAGCATTAAGTCCCTTGTTGATTTCATCCAGTAAGCTGTTACTGTCTTTTAACCGTTCATACATTCCTGGCATGGAAGTAGCATGCAAAACCTGAAAGCACAAACACAACAAATAATTGCATTGGATTTTTATTGAAGATGAGAGAGAAATTAAAGAAACACCCTTTTTAATAATTCCATCTATGGTTCAAAGATTTTACAACGCTTTTCAATATCACCTTTCCTCAGCTGTTCTCAGTGGTTCAAACAAACATGACATGTTGTGTTTTGACTTCAAAAGAACCATTCAAAAGCATGTACGACCCTTAGCCCCGTTTACACTTGCAAGTTTTGCAAATCGATTCTCGCGGCGATCGTCGCATCACTAGCGCCTGTGTTGGATTTAAAATTCAGTGGCTGAAACTTCGCGGCGATTTTCCATCGTCGTAACAATCGCAGGGCTGTTTACACGTACGATTTTAGTTTCGCGATAGCAAAGTGACAATTATCGCGCTGCAAAAATGGCAGTGTAAACAGGCCTTTACAAATGGAACAATACTACTACAATACCTACTTATACCAAAAATTGAAAATACAAAGCATATGTTTTATGTCATAAAAATAGAGCGAAAATCCGAGTTTTCACTGACAAAAGTCTAAAAGCATACTTTGATGCACAACAGCTATGGTCACATAAACTTGCAAGGCACTGTAAAGCTAAATATACTCGTTTACCAGGCAAAACATTTTATCACTGTTATGCAGTACCTTTGGGTCTTTGGCCACAAAGTTCATAATATCTCTCCAGTTTCTATCAACAGTTTTAAACTTTCTTCCTTCTTCAGGCATCTGCTGCATGATATCTTCAGAGCTGAAAATTGGCTCTAAGTAGAGCCACTGGGCCTGGACCTTAAGCCACTCATCAATGATCTCCTGCATCTTGAGCAATCTCTCCTCCCAAGCCTAGAATTGACACAGTGACTGAATGAATAGATGATAGCAGGCTAAAATGACTAAAGTGCATAAACTAACTGCTGAACAAACCAATTGAATGATTTACTGTTTGTTTGTATGCTAGGCTTGCTACAATTTGAATGATTACAAACTCTTTTATTCATACGGCGCGATGACATAGTTACGGCAATCACAAAAATAGCTCCTAAACTTTTTCTGATGACGCAGGATAGAGCATGTGAAAAGAGTCAACTGGCCCCATCCCTGGCCACCTTGTATAACATTGCAAAAAGAAAACAAATCTATGTCGAATAGCCTTCCTATTTCTCCTTTTCAATGTTGTTTGAAAGTGTGACTATATGTGATTATGCACTCCATCAAAGGGCAACATCTTGTTGAAATCAATGCTGCGAAAAAATGTCCACAACGTTGTTTTTGGGGTTTCGTTGCTACAATCTAATTGATTTTTGCCGACATTTGTAGTCTCAAACGGCATTTGCCGATACTCACTTTGATTTCATTTTCAAATGGTTTGATAAAAGGTGATCCTCTCATAGTCTGCGTCTTGACGATCTGATCATCTAAGGTTGTCTGGATCTCATCTACAGCAGCAAGTATAGAGACTCCAGTATCACGGTACAACGTAGTATTAAAAATAATTGCGTCCCAGTCCTCTTCCATACGCTGCATAGCTCTCTCTAGTGAGAATTCCTATAGAACAAAAACGTTAAGCACTATGTTCACGTCCTAAACTATGCACTGTTAACGGATCCATTTGGATGAGCACTCTATTCTAAGACTGTACCTATAGGAGGAGCCGGCGGGTTCCTGGGAGAAATATATGACAATATACTTTAGACAAGGAATACTTTCTAAGAATTTTTTCCAGGAAAATATAAATTTCCTAACTAAAAAAATGTAAGCCATTTATGAGAAAAAAAAACAACGTTATATAAGCCTTTTTTGTTCTTAAAAACGTTTGACAGGAACAAAATTATTTTAAAGAAGGAAGRGCGCCACATTTGCTTGTCAACAATGTTGCTCAAAATCCCTTTCCCAGAAAAAAATACATTCAAGAACAGTTATTTAGGAGAACAGATCCCGTCAGCTCCTCCTGTGTATTTGTCTGCGAGACACGCAACTTTTAACTGACAAACTTAAGCGCTTTTACTAAAGTGAACACTTTCTACGAGAAATAGCAGAATGAAAATTTATAATTAAACCTTCCACTCTACCATTATTAGAAACAGGTATTGGGAAATAGAAGTAAACATTACCTTGCTCGCCCCACCACTTATTCCTTCTAGCTCATTCAAAAATGGTCCAAGATTAAACTTAAGTACTTTTCGAAGAGTTGAGCCTGAGTCAGGAGTGATGTCAAACCCGACAATTTCAGACATTGCCTTCCAGTGACGAAGTCGAATACCTGGGTTGCACATTATTGCAATCACAGGGATGTGGTCCTGTGGAATAGAAAGTAGAGTCATTTTCTTTTTTTTAATATTGAAAATGTTTTAATTTAGAGGATATGTCTTCCCTTAAAATTGGGATTTTTCCATTAGGAAATATTGTAAATTCTGTATAAATATGCATCAATGTGACAAGATTTAGCTCTCATGTTTTGAACTGCTATCAACCAATCAGTGGATAGCCTTAGTGAACACCTCCTAAAAACCGTACACCTTATTATACCTTAAAATCTCTTATTTGCTGCTGCACTGTCTGAGCAACCTTAATGGCCRCTAGTTCGACTTCGTCTTCTTCTTTGTCCTTGGAATCTTTAATACGACCTTTTGCTGCTTTTCTTTCTTTCTCAGCTTCTTTTTTCATCACCTGGAAGATCTTGACATTCTTGTACATCTCTCGACCAAATTCTTCCACCTGAAATTTAATACAAACATCACACTATGCAAGGGTGGATTAGGGGAGAGGACTGGGGGGTCGCATCGCAAAACATGTACCTGTATGAATAGCCAAAATGATGTGACAGTTCAAAAAAAGGAGCAAAAATACAAGTAATGTGTGAGATACTGAACACATTTTGTTTATGTTCAGTGGATAAATGACAGATCGCCGATAAGTTAGTAAGGAAAACCTATGCTTCCCATGCAGGAAACCTTCACTAACAAAGGATCAAGAATTACCTCTGCTTCAGTAGATTCTGCATTTAGTTCTAAAAATGCACCATCCATCCACTTCTTTTCGGCTCTTTGCCACTTGACAACCACTGAGAAGAGCTTCTGGTATGGCTCTATTGCCTTGGAGATTGCTTCTACTTCAGGATAATCTGTACGCTCCCACTTGAATAAATCTTCCTCCTGTATAAAAATGACATGAAACATTATTGGGATCAAATCCAATATTAAAATGAATGAACAAAATGAGCAGTCGAACCATCTGAGAAAGCAAAAAAACATTCCTAATTCACAACCCATACCACATTTCATCATTGAAAATCCATCTGCATAGCTCAGGAGTTTTTTTCTCTATATACCAAAATTTGCTATCAAACCTTTTCTGCCTGCTATTTTTTTGGCACGGAACCTTCTGCTGGACTATTTCCCTTTGTACTTGTAATGTACTGATATAGGCACATGGTTTACAGATCCTGATTGTAATCAATGATAAGACCTACATGCCAATGACAATACCTCATTAATAAAGCCAATAGTATCAATCAATTCACTGAGTTTCTTTTGTAACGACTGCACATCTTTCATGTATTGAGACATCATGTCCAAATCTCCACATTCTTTGAACTCTTCTACGCGCCTATATAAGGAAATGATAATAATAATGACACTTTCCCCATTTGTAAAAAATATAAACCATTAAAACCTGCATTTATCAAAATTTCCATTGATGTGAGCATGCCAAGCAATATGAAAACACTAAACCGTGATTTACAAAGAGGATACTGGCATATTGTTTTGCACTGTACCTGCTTAATTTTGACAGCTCCAACATAACTTTTTCTCTCTTTTCTAGCAATGCACTCTCATTAGTCTTCTGTGCTGCAGCAACAATCTACAACAAATCAACAATTAAAAAATGATAACTAGAACTACTTCAACAAAACCATGACTTGTGCCATGTATTGAAACATTTCATATTGATTGACTGGGTGTTGTTCTATCAATCATGAAGATTTTTCAAGGAATAATTACAGATTGAACTTTGGTACTCTATCTGGCAATTCCCAGCTATTTTTTAAGGTTGAATTAATTCAATCCAACAAAAGCTTTTATTTTCGCTGGCAAGCAGCTTCCACAGCAAGTTTCTTTTCTTGAGTGCCATATACAATGTAATAAATAAGAACATTACATGTTGGCTTAAAGATATGAATAGAATCTATTTTCTTGTGTTCAAAACAACATTTTACTTGTTCGCTGTTTTCATCACTCAAAAATAAAATTCATATTTTCACACCACCTTGTAATATCCTCAGTATATATATCTCATTTTCCCAGTTTAATTCAAGTGTGAACTCTTGAAAATTCACAAATTATAATTTGAAAGAAATGTGTTGATGGACATAGATTGTTTATTGTCTTGGAATATGTGTGTGTACTCATAAGCCAGCTCTTTACCATACCTCATCATTCTGGTCAAAGATAGGATCAATGGCTTTGGGCCAGTTTAGCACAACAGAATTTAGCTCCATATCCTCTCCAGTGAATGTAAATACATCAAGAAGATATGATAGTCTATTAAATGATTCCTATTAAACAACAACAAATAAATGAAAATATTGTTATAAGTTCATACATGTCAGTTCTTTACATGTTTTGCCATAATCAGTTAAAATATACCACTAACAATTGATTGTTAGAATCAGAAAGGTGTTTATTTCTAATTTTTTTGCTAACTATTTCTTACTTGCAAAACTAAGAATCTATTCAGCATAATATTATAATAATAAGTAACAAATCAGCAAATCAAGGGCAAAATAACGACGCTGGGATCACAATCCATTCGGCAACTACTAGTACTGAAAATGAGACAAAGCATCTCCTATATATCCAGTGAAAACTAATAAATGTCTGTAAGAACATCATTAAAATAACAACATGAGGCTTACTGCCAATAATTATAATCAGAGAAAAATAATTTTAAACCTTAATAATGCAGCTACCTTAATATCATTGCCAAGTTTGACCAATCCTTTAGATTTTGCCTCCTCAATAAACTTTTGCAGTTGAATCATCTCTTTGGTGTCTTCTGGTCTTCGCAATGCCTTTTCTTTGATTGACTCATATTCAGCAATGATACGTTGGTTCTCAGATCGATGTTCTTCGGCTAATTTATTCAAAAGTTCATCTGCAAATTTGTTTGCTTTGCTGGCAAGGCCTCTTTTCAGGTCATCACAGTCAAGTTGAATCATATCGAAGTAAGCTATTGTTGGTAAGCTGCTGATTTCACGGGCAAGTGATCGATAACGGTCAATTTCCTGGTGATATTTAAATAGTTTCATTAGTTGCATTTCATTGATAGTACCTTCAAGATCTTGGATTATAACATTTCTTATGACAATTGCATGGTTTCAAACACAATTTCGTACACTAAACAAATCATCTGATACCTTAATACAAATTAAGTTCCATTTCATTCTACTGACACTCCATATATATACCTGAATGCATTCTTCAAAAGAGTGTTCTTTTTCTTTAAAGTTGTTAATTTTTTCCCTTGCCTCACCAGACACCAGATCACTATATTTGTCTGTTGGAGAAAAAAAAAATCATTAATTTCATTTGTTGTTTACCATTTAATGAAAAATGTAGTAGAGTAAATGTATGCCTTATACATGATAAAATAACAAACTTTACCAAAGGAATGAAGGTATTCCAGCGGTTGTTCAAGGTTACTATTGACAGCTTCTTTCAAGAATACTTTGCATTTCTGGAGAACTGCTTCATCGACTTTGGCATCAACATGAGTCACAGTATTACCTCCAGCCAACCAGGACTAAAATAATCAATTAAAAATTAGAAATGAAGACAATCTTGAGACAAAGCAGTAATTAAACTTACTTGAACAGTTGGCACATTTTGCATGGTGTTTGCTACAGTGTCAACAACATGTAGAACAGCACCTTCAACATCACCCAAGGCAGGATAGAACTGCATGTTGTCATCATCATCAAGTATTAATTCCATCTTAAATACTGGTAAAACATTCTTATTTTCTTCAGCAAAAAGACACTTCCAGGCAACAATTGTCCTTGTTATCAAGTCATTCAACTAATAAATAAAAATGTACAAAATGTATCAACAAAATAATTAACAATAAAGATTACATTAAAAAGGATATTCATAATTAGTTCTTATCATTCTCTTGTCCTTTTGCTGCTAGTGAAAACCAGGCCTTATCATGGTAGATATTATATTGAATCTTGAGTGGAGATGGGCCTATAGCAGGAAGTCAATACAATACAGTACCTGGTTTGATATAAGGACAGACACACTGCTGTAAAATGCATCAACTTGGCTAGGACTAAAGTGCTTCAGCATGTTCTTGTCCACAAACACATTGACTACCTCTGGAAACCAACTGGAGAAAACAAAGAAATTTCTATCATAAGTGGATTTAACATAAACACTGTTTGCAGCTTCCACTACAATTAGTTAAAGGTGACAAGATAGAGTACGTAGCTGCAATGATATGATGGTAACAGCTAAAGAAATTGTTGTTAATGCTTATTGTTCATCTAAAATAGTTTCTTTGTTGCTGTTGTCTTTTTTTGTGTTCTTCAGCAAAGTTGGGGAAAGGAAATTCAAATTCAAAAGAAATCAGCAAATCTAGTACACAAAGAACTCTCAAATAAGAATCAAGATTTTAAGATGTGCTGTAGTTGTTCTTTTATGTGATTTTATTAGGTTTTATTAGGTTTTGAAATCAGTGTTTTGGTCCACTTAATTAGGTTAGTAATGATGGAAATTCCCATCAACCAAGTTTTGTGKCCTCTTTATTTTAGGATAGAGCATGTCCTTACCCTGCAGTATGAAATGACAATTTAAAATGGAAGCAAGACACATCACTTCAAACCACATATTTTTGCATAATTCACCTGTGCATTAACTTTTCTTCGGTTTTCTCACAATCTAATGTGACATTATTCTTCAAGTGTTCACATTCAACAGGACCTTGATTTCTGAAAATATGAGAATTTTGTGGTTTRTAATTATAAAAAATTGTATTTTCTTAAAATATCACGACAGTATGTCATGTAAATTACGGTAATATGTACCTTAGCCCTGATTGGTCTGTGATCAGCATGGATGCATAGTTTTTACTTTGACAAATACCCAGAATTGTCTGCATTGAGGGATGCAAGATATGCAGATTTAATTTGATGGCATCTCTTGCAGCATTGAAGCTATCTCTCCATGGACTTGAAAAGTCCAAGCCACTAATATAAAAAAAACAGACAATTAGATTAGAATTAACTTGACTGTTGTAACATTAACTGAGAAATGGAATGTGTATTTCTCTCTAGTCTCTGTTATTTGCAATGSTTTTAAAATTATCATTTAATAAAAAATGTTAATGAATGAAAGGCAGACTCTTCATCACTGACATGATATTAAATTCATCCCACTACTTTAAAGAAAAATGTTTAATGACCGACAATTAGGACTTAATCGACAGTATTTCTGCACTATCAGTTCCATGCATATGATATCGGATATATCTAACAAATATTGGGTTGGGTTCTTGGCTGGATTTGTTGTTAGTAGATAGTAGTTTATAGTTAGAACATGTCCCCTATTGTTCTAAGGTAGCCTCCTTTAGTAGCAGCCCCTGTGTCATCATGCAATGCTAATCCCCATAGTTGTGTGATGACACAGGGGTGGCTGCTAAAGGTAAAWGSTTTTACATGACTTAGCAGTTTAGATTGCTCCACTTTTCAGTGACTACAGGTACAATGACTTAGCAAAATAAATTTCAAAGCTGATGAATCAAGATCTGTTGAATAAACATGGTTCGCTACATAATCAAGTAATAGCTATAGTGTGATTTAYGGTCATTATACCATTGTGTCAATAAATTACTTACACTACTTCATCTGGTAAATCTTCATCTCCTTCAACTCCTTTAACTTTTGGYTTTACAAGAATGTGTTGCACTAATGAAAATATTGATATTAGGAAAACTCTGATTAACAACCACTGACTGAGATGAGTTCACCTACCCATGGATTTCTTAATACTTGCTTCATACTCTTTCTTAACTTCATCATGGAGCTCATTGATGTGTGATTGTARCCATGGTGACTGCACTAGCCTYGATGGGATCATAGTCAGAATGGCGTCCCACCATTCCTGMGCCATTGGAGTWGCTGGCCCTTCCTGGACACACTTTTTTAAATACTGATAGTTTAACTGTAATCATATMACAAAACCTCTGATTAGGTGTGTTATCTGTTATCAGGAAAGCATTATCAATTTAATAKAGGGGCATTAAGGCTGTCAACTCTACCGGAGAGTGTAATCCTAAAGATCTTTGGTCTTTGGTAGTGGACAGTGCAGGGACTTTGATTGGGACTAACTAACACCAGTGATTGGCATGTATTAGGGGTTAGGGTTCCTGCAACCTACAAGGGTTAGGGTTCTGATTTAGGGTTAGGATTAGTGTTAGAATACAATGGGAGCCAGAGGTTTTAGGTTTAGGTGAAGGTTAGGCTTTAAACTCTGAGTTTCAAAAGCAACCCCCCCCCTCCCCCAACCATGCATCCGATCACATTATGCCCTGAATGATAAACCAAGTATCTTCATATATTCATGCATACCCTGATTCTCCTTTCTGTACTCATCATCTATAGAACAAAAATKATCATCATGAGTGAAATGATTGAATCTTTAAATATTATAACAATGATTCAATTCAGCAATCAAARTAACCAATGAATTCAAAAAATGGTATACCAATTTACTGATTACTGCATGATTGTTGTGAACTGAATAACTACTCATCAAAATCTTTTGTAGCTAGTACGCCGTACAATGAACAAGAGATTTATCAAGCAGTGTAAATTCTCTACCATTTTTCAAATTGGATAAAAAATTGTTGTACAATCTTTTGTTGTCTAGGTTTTAAGTCCAACTTATCCCTTGCAAAAATATATTTTAGAAATACCTGTGTATGAAGTATCACTTAAGCAGAAWTGAATTGAATAATGTGTATTTTTTGTGTTACATATTTTTTTCATCATGATTCTTACTTGAGATGGCAGCTCAGGTTCTCCAGGTGGTACTGGCTTTCGTTGAAGGCTTTCCTTTGTGTCTTCATTTGCYGTTTCTGCTTTTTTGTACCTTAAATTGTAAGTGGGTGTTGTGAGTGGAGACATCTTATATTTCTTATTTTTCATGACTTTTAGTTACTATTAATAGAAATGCACCTTTATGAACTTGTGAAATAAAATAAAAAAGTAACTTATTTTAATCTACATGTATTTACAGACTTTGTGTTATTGTTTACATACGTTTAAAATGCGACAAGCATACAATAAATTTTATTGAAATAGTACCTGTAAGGTACTAAGTTAAAGGTATTTCTGTCCAAACTGAAAGGATGGAAGATGATTCTTGCTCACTTTAAGAAATCATGTGAATCCGCCATTTTCTAGGTGGACATGAAAATGGTGGATTCACATGATTTCTTAGCTAAAATGGTGCTTCGGCTCGCAAGGTACGGCGGTTGGTTATGATTCTTTAATTGTGTAAAATTTAATACCGAGACAAACAATAAACACTAGCTTTTTATTGTATTATTCTTAAATAAAAGCACATTAATTTTACTCTACTTGACAAATAAAT